CCAAAGTGATTATCTCAGCTAGTATTTCAAAATATAATCTAAAGCCTTCTGTTAGTAATAAATCCACAGAAATCCATAAAACCTAGAGTGTTTCATATTATTATTATCATCAAACATTCATTGAACTTTCTACTAGCCATGTTCTGGTTATTGTATAGGGCCAAACATTCATTTGCGATTCTTACCTAGCGGGGTTCACAATCCAAATGTGGCCTAAAGAGAGCAGGAATGAGGGGTATTCACAAAAATTATGTTCTTATGGTTAAATAGTCAAGCAATACGAGTTCCTCTTTCCCATTGTAATGATTTACGAACGACAGTGGTAACAATCTCAAAGAGAGAATTCAGTTAGCAACCTCTGCAATTATTTTTTAGCTTCGTGGGGTTAACCTTATTGGGGTTGATTAAATTCAAGCTGTGATCTTTCATAAAAACTCAATGGAGGGTCCAGATGGCCCAATAATACCTCCTTTTGTGAGAGAAAATAACTTGAAGATTTTTGTCTAACGAAAGTATTTGTGCTGGTGGGACCTGAATGAATTGTTATCCCTTTAAAAGGAGTCTGCATTACAAATAATCTTTATAAAATACTAATTATTCAAAAATAGAGTTCTGCTTTCATTATTTCAGTTATGTCCTAGGACCAGAGTGGCAAGAACATGACATTTTGAAGCTAGACTCTGATACCATCTTTGGGATTTCAGTCTGAAAATACAATTCTGGAAAATCAACAGAACAAGGCTCTGTGGAATAAAATGCCAGGAAGGTCAATACATTACTTTCCTACTGTTCCAGTCCCATGCTCACAATTACCTTAACTCTGGTCAAAATATTTTCTACAGTAACAGCCAAAACATAATTAGCACCTTTTCTTTATGCTGAAAATATCATTGGTAGCCATATAACAAATTTGGAGAAAGTCTTTCAGCACCCAACTCAGTGAATGGTTACTGGGGTTATTGGGTGTATCACCATTTGCCTACTTGAGGGAATAGCACGCCATCTTACTCCGCCTTCTGTCCACCTGATAGTCCTCACTGTATCAGACAGGGAGAAAGAGAGAATTCTAGGCAGGAGGTGGGGGTTAGGTGGGAGGTAGAAATGAGTTGTGAAATTCAATAGGAAATTACACAATAAACAATTGTTCAGTGCTTTGGTTATTTAGCTAATTTGCCTTTGTTATTCTCCAACTTCTTTGTGTATTTTGTCTGTAATCAGGTGACATTCTGAAGTAGTTTGTTGTCCAGAAGCCTGTCTTGTATCAGACAGGCAAAAAGTATTGGTCAATTTTATTATGAATGCAAAGGCCCTTTGTTTGGCTTTTCATTTGTTCTTGGCTGAGGCTTTAAAAGCCAAAGTAGTTATGATTAGAGATTTCCAGCAGGGGGTGCAGCTGCTTCTAGAGGGTAAATTCTTTTGAAGCCAAATCACATCCAACATCTGAAATATTGTAGAGCTGGAATTTTGATAACATTTATGGCTGTCATCTCTTTTGATCCTAGAAAGTCCATGCATATTAATACTTTATTAGGGTGTGTTAAAGAACTAGAAATTTGTGGAGAATATTTAAATTAAAAACTTAAAATGCCTGACCAAAATCTCATTCTGCTAATTTTTTCAAAGTAAATGACGAACAAAGCTTCGGGTAATTTTAATTATCCAGTACAGCAGATCAAGAGCTTAAATTTTTTATTTTAGATAAGAAGAGTAGATGATCTGAGAGAGCTTGGTAATAGTTACTCCATCTCTCCCTCTCTCTCTCTCTCTCTCTCTCTCGTGTGTGTGTGTGTGTGTGTGTGTGTAAAGAATACATTACTTATTTTTTCAAGATTTGTCCTTTTGGGTGGGGAGGGTGGGTGTTTAAAGCCATTTCTTTTCTTTTTTTTTTTTTTTTTAAGATTTTATTTATTTATTTGACACGGAGAGAGAGAGACAGACAGCAGGAGAGGGAACATAAGCAGTGGGAGTGGGAGAGGGAGAAGCAGACTTCCCGCGGAGCAGGGAGCCCTACGTGGGACTCGATCCCAAGACCCTGGGATCATGACCTGAGCCGAAGGCAGACGCTTAATGACTGAGCCACCCAGGTGCCCCTCATGTTTAAAGCCATTTCTTTGAAGGCATGGTTCCTGATCAACTTTAAACGATGCCATCTTATTCTTTGTTTTTTGTTTTATTTTTTCCTCTTTATTGCCTTTTATTTGTAGATATCTGAGCATTTTCAAGCACAGGACTTTGGCCCCCGGTTCCCATGTTCACATTTTTATTTGTACATAAAAGTGTATGTTTTATTTTTTGAGAAGAGCAAGTAATATAAAAACAATAAAAATCTGTTAATTTTTTTCATACTGGTAAGCAGCTTTAGACTGTTAGTATTGATAAGGAGCAAAGTTTTAAAGTTCCAGACCCCTTAAGTCAAGATGGATGATGTGGGAGGACTAACAGTAATGTCAGCTACGAAAATTATCCTTTGAAAATCATGGCTTTGTTTGTTACATTTTCTGGGTCTTCATTATGAGAATATGACATTTCAAGTCTTGTTTTTCCTCCAGAATCATGTCTTGATTCTTTAGTATCATGTCGTTTTAAAGGAAGCATCATCGTATAAAGAAGGTGTAATTTTCACCTTATTTATATGATGATGCTTCCTTTAAAAGACCTGATTTATTTGACTTGGGTTTATGTTGATACATGTCCATGGTTATGAAATTTCTGATTATTTAGGAAGTAATTTTTAAAGTGTCTTTAGGGTGGACACTCTATAACACTTAACATTTCAAAGTTGTGACACTGAATCAGCTTACTGTATTTTTAAAGACTCTTAGTACAAAGGTCAAGAAATGCATTTAAATGCATGAGCTTTCCAACCTGCACAGGGGGTATGGGTACTTATGGCATTAGGACCTCACACTGATGGTTCCACTCCCTTTCCCCAATTTCTTCCTCTCCTTTTCTTCCTTCCTCTCTATATTTACTTTGATTGCAAGTTTTCTTTTGCATCCTTCCCTTGCCTATGGTTTGTAAATGAAAGAAAGAAGTGCCTACAGACCTTAACTACTTAACCTATTTGGTACCATTCAGATGCAAGAAAGTGGCTGGAGTAAGGAATTTCAGTGATGCCTTTTTAAAATTAGGGAGGAGTAAGAGACATAAAGAAATTAAACATGTCTCTTCTGCTTTGTCTATTAAGTTTACCTTTGAGAAATATGGACGGTAGAGGGGCAGGAGTGTAGAACCAACTTCTGCTGGAATATTGTGATAGATTTACTGACATATTTTCTGATTTTTACCAAAAGGCAGTTTTTGTTTTTTCTAGTTTACCAACAGGCCATAAATGTACTTCTGGTTGGCAGCAGCTGCATCATTATAACACAAAAAAAGCAACCTTGGCTAACTTCAGTACCTTATGTAACATAAGAAATAAAGAATAACTGGAACTTAAAAGATTTTTCATGTTAACTTTACTGATGATGAACTGTTTCCAAGGTAAGAAACAAATCTTTCCCCAAAGAGAAATTCTCCCCCAAATTACTTCTTTTAGACTTAACAAGTTGGGGTAGACTTATGTTTCTGCTCGTTCTTTTATCTGCTGGCAACTAATTTTAAGACCTCTCTGTAAGACCGATTCTGATGACCTTGGGAAAGTCACAAGACATCAGTTTCTTCAATGGTAAAAAGAAAGGCATTTTTCTACCGTCCGTCTTTCCTCCACCTTTCAATACCAATGCTCGGAAAAGAAATACACCGAAAGCCCGGTGTACCCCCAAACTTGTAAAATTTCCATGTCTCAAAAAATACTGAATATACTTAAGGTAGGATAATAAAAGCCTGGTTCCTAAGGTTGGGCTGGTGTGAGCCGGCGTCTTTGGGGCCACCCTAAGCCCCTAAATCTTGGTATCTCGCTTAACTTCCATTAAGAACAAAATAAACCACGGGCCTGTCAGCGACCGTGCGGTGTGGACGGAGAAAGGGATTCTTGCTCCCTTGGAGTTTTGCCTTCTGGGTGAGCATGGCACCAGGTCCCGGGCGGGTGATGTCTGTAGTTGGCGAGCGATCCCCAGGCGGAAAACTGGCTGCATACGTAGGAGTAGACATGAGAGCATGTCCCCGCGAACAAGCTGGGACGCATATTTTTCTCCCTTGAATTCTTTAATGCTCAGAGACCGTAGGGGGGTTTATCGAGAATCTCTCGGTGCCCGTGCGATGTTTTGCAACGGCTAACACAATACCAGGTTCCTTTGCAGTATTGTGGTTTGCTCTCAGTTTCAGCCAGAAACCGGAACAGAAGGAAAGGGAGAAAGCAGGGAAGGTTCGGAGACGACCGCGCTCAGGGTTGCATGATCTGCAGCTGCTAAAGCGTGGAGGATGGGACGGAGGAGGAGAATACGGAGAAAGGGGAAAGCTGAGGAAAAATACTCACGCCAATGGGTAAAAGGGAAAAGGTGAGAAGGAATGGAGTAGGAGAGGGAACCAATGGGTGGGAGAGGCGGAGGAAGAAGGGGGAAGGGCAGAAGCCAATGGGGGAGCCCGGACGCGAGCGAGGACGCGGCCCCGCGCTTGCTCCCCTCCCTCCGGCCCGAGCGCTCGCGCCTTCCCAGGCTCCCCGGAGACGAGGGCAGGGGCGGGGCCCGGCCGGGCGCGCGGCGCGGGAGGAGCCGCGAGGTGAGGGCGGCGGGGGCGGGGAATTGTGGGGAGGACGGTGCGGGTGCGCGCGCGCGCGCGCGCGCGCCCCGTCGAGGCTGCGCCGCCGCTCCGCCCCCGGCCGGGTGTGTGGCTGCGCGCGCGCGCGTGCGTTCCGGCGGTGCGCGCCGGGAGAGATGCTGAGGTAAAGTTCGGGAGAGAGGGAGAGAGATCCGTCAGCGCGAGGGAGCCCGAGTGGCCGCCATTACTGAGCCCGGCGCGGCGGCGGGCACAGGGGAAGGGGGGAGGGACGGGGCCGCCGCTGGTGGCGGGAGGGAGGGTGGGAGGGTGGGTTACCCGGCCGCGGGAGCTGTAGGGCTTAAGGTTTCGGGGCGTGTGTGTTGGGAGGGCGGGCGGAGGTGGCTGAAGGGACGCGGCGCTTGGTGAGCGCGCCGGGGAAGAGAGGCGAGCAGAGAGTGGAGGAGGAGGCGGCGGCGGCGGGAGCGCTCCCCAGGAATGTCGCTGCCGCCGCCACCGCCGGCGCCGCTGCCGTTGAGGAGGAGACGGAGGAGACCGACGGTGTTAGGTAGGACCTTGAGATCCCCGCTCCTCTGGGCCTGCCCGCTCTCCCCCTCCCCGACCGGGACCCTCCCGCCACCGGCTGCCCCGCTCGGTAGCCGCCGCCGGTTGTAACCAGTTCAAGGCGCTGGGGCCCCGCAGCCACGGAGGGGAGCCTGGCGCCGCGCTCCGTCCTCGCAGGCCGAGCGGGGAGCGGCTGGCGCGGGGGGGATACGGTCGGCGTGAAGGGCAGAGAGGCCGGGGGAGGGGGCGCTTTCTCCACAGGTGACGCGGCCGGGGTCGGCGGAGGCCTGGTGGTGGCCGGGGATCGCGCCGGCCCCGCCAGGCGTCCGCTCTCGCCCGCCGCCCTCACTTGCCCTGCTCTCCGATGGTACGTGGGGAGGGAAGGTGGCGGTGTCTGTTGGCTGGGTTGCTGCTGTTAACGAGTTCCACCTGGAAGGGGGAGGGGGTGGGCGCATATTCGCGGAAACACAATCTTCGTTGCAAACTTAAGCGCCTTTCAAGGGGATCGGCCCTTTCACTTTTTCCCGATCTCCCCCACTCCTGCTTGGGTTCTCTTCAATTTCCCATCTGCTGCGAAAGCTCGGGGTAGGGTGTGAGAAGTTGCACTGCGCAACCAAAACCCGGAGTCTTATCGGTTGACTGCGGCTGGGTTGAGGCTTTGATACTGAGTTTTTGCGAGAATAACCTCTAGATTCTTCTTCTGTTTCCACTAAAGAAAAGTATCGGGGTGGGGGCGGGGAACCGCGCGGGAGCGCGCGCGCACTTATCCACACATAAATACTCCCTCACACCCTCCCTCTTCAGCGTTATTAGAAATGCGGGTGAGGTGGAGACTGGGTGTAGCTGGCGCCGAAAGGTGCTCGGAAGTAAAGGCAAACTATTAGGACGTTTGGTAAAATTCCGAGAAAGTTGTAGGGAGACGCTTACACTTTTGCCATATGATAGAAATCCAGTTTGGGCTCATGCTTAATAAATGGGAATTTTAAGTGTTTTAAACCTAGACCAAAATAGGCATATAGATTGTGTGTACGCCCATTTTTAAGTTTAAATTCCTAACGAAATTTTGCTTTATTTCCTCTGTGATAGATAGGAAACAGTACCATTTTTTAAAATAGTGAAGTGTAAAACGGTGGAATGCGTCGTTGTATTTACTGTTCTTTGCCTTTGCTGCCTTCTACAGGTGTTGAGGAAGGGTGTGGAGGGGAGGGTTTGCCGTCTTCATTTTAAACATCCAAAACCAATACTCAATTTCAAAGTGGGGGGGGGCAGTTATTTGCATTCAGTGCATTTGCATTCACTTCAGGAAGTATTTCTCAAAATCTCCATTTAAAATGGTTCTTTAAGCAAAAATTTGATCCAGATGCAACTATGTGGAAAAATACTTGGTTAAGATACATTAGCAAAATGTGTTTTGGAGATGTTTTACTGTCAATTCCAGTTTATTTGACTTCAGTATGATAAAACTGTATTCTTAATGAGTAGTGTTAGATATACATATTATGTAGGTAACCTACTGGACAGTTTGCAGATTAAGGTTTTATTTCCATTTTAAATTGCTTTCTCACTTTTGGCCTTTTCATCTATCCTTTTCAAATTGACTCTCGTTTCCCCTATCTGTAGTAGAGCAGAGGAAAAGAGTGTTAAGTGTGGATCACCAAAAACTTGCATAGGTCTTAAAGCACTTTATGAATAAACATACATGATTGAAAAGCTGGATATACCTGGGTATTTAACTCTCAAGAAAGGTGCTATTGGGCTGTTGATCTGATTGACTTAAAGCAGACTAGTTAGAAGGACACAGATGACTAGATAACAATTGATTTGGTTGTCCTGTGCAAGCTACTTTTTTTTAACCCTCCTCAGCATGTGTTGTTATTTTACCATTCTTTGTGTACGTTCCTTACAAAGGCTTTGGGGAATGGGTGGGTTACACTTCGCTATAAGAAAGAATTGTCACAGAAATCTGATTATCTTTGTCATTTTTAAGTACCCCACCCCATTTAAATTACTTTAGCAATTTAAAAAATGTATTGCAAAATTAGTATCTTAAATTCACATCTCCAAAATGCTTTGAAATCCCTCCACACACATACACTTTTTTCTGTTTGAAAAGCATATTCAGTACACTTACTCTTTTGGAGAAAATAATTATTTTGACTTTGAAAGTTAAGGTTTTTTTTTAAAGGAATAAAATATTGTATTTGCATTCATTTTTTTGGAATTGAAGTTGTGGTTAGAAAACAGTTTTGTGACTCAGTTTTTTAATACTGAAGGAAAAGTTCTGTCTCAGAATTCCACTAAACTTTTTTCAACATTAGCAGGTCTTAAGTAAGGTAAGTGTTACCTTTTAGTATGAAATGGCATAATAGAAAATTTCTTGGTGGCTAAGTTTCAAACTAGTTTCTATACAAATTATTTTAAAAACTCTGTAGAGCTGTAAGACCCCTGATTTTTTTCTTTGCACACCAAGAAGGTATGCAGGTAATATAATTTACTCAAGAAGTGTTATATGGTGTTAGGTTTTAATAATATCTGTGTTCCTAAAAAATGTTTGTAAAATACATTTAAAGTACACCAGGGGAGCTTGGTTTTCTATAATGAATGGTGAAGAAACCTTGATAAAGTGATCCATCATTTGGTGGCTTGAGTAATCAAGCTCCTGTTTGTTCAAATGAAGGCTGTAGTTAATCATTTTCTCAAACCAGGAACAACTATATTAGAAATTAAGAAAAATAGTTCAGTGCTAAGAATTTTTAAGTGTGAACTTTAATTTAATTGGTTTTAAAACTCTGTTGCTTGAACCACTTAACGGATTTTTCCTGGATGGCTTGAGACTTCCTCTGACAACCCAGCAGCTGCTTTTTTTGTTTGTTAAATGTATTGTACTTGAATATAAGAATTTCTTTGAAAAAAGAAATCTGCGCATAAAGGAAACTTTTAAAGCCTCTGCTTTGTAATTCATTAATTCGTATTACCTTTATTTAGCATTTACTGTGTGCCTGGCCGTGGAGATACCAAGATAGAGATTGTGTAGCTTGAGCTTTAGTTGAAGAGGTAGTAACTATAAAGGAGTGAATAAGTACGTACAAATACTAAAAAATGCAGAAAAGGTAACTATTTCTATCAGGTGCTCTTTGGGAATTATTTACAGAATAATCATTTGAATTTGGATGCATTAACTGCAAATAGGAGTTTGAATATAAGAGAGATGGTAAACAAGGTTGGTCTTTTTTTCACTGTATTTTGGAGGTTGACGGTCCACAATACCTTAGATTTGCAGTAAAAATAGATGTTAATGTTTGGTCATGTCTTTGTGTTTGACTCCTTAGAACTATTACTTGGGAATAAGAGTTATGTATAACTTCGTAATTTTAGGGTTAAAATATGATGTGTGTGTGTCAGTTGGTTAGATTCTCAAGCTTTTTTCATCATGAAGAGTTAATGGTAAAAGTAAATTTTCATTTTTCTAGCTTCACACTAGATTTAGCCTATTTTGTTCCTGAACAGTATTTTATTGAGCAGCTAGGGCACTGTGAATAATACAAGGAAATATAAAATATTACTCCCTTAGAAGAGCTTATAGCTTTCTTGGGGAGAGAGCTTGACAATTTAGGAATGGTTGGATACCAGCTCAAGATAGAGTAGAAGAGCCATATAGAAGGCAGGACATACTGATTTTTAAAATCAGTGTAAAGGAATTTAGATAAAGGAGATAAGATTTAGAAGTTGGGGAAGATTGCGATGAGTAAGAAGAAAGACAAGTAAGTTAATGACACTGTGGACCAAAAGCACGGGGAAGTGAAGATAGATTGGCTGGTGAGGGGAAAATAGGTAAAAATTTAAGAGCATCAGTTTGTACCTTTTGAGTGAAATTGAAAGATTTAGGGAAAAGTATTAACACAAGGTTAATAGAAGGAGTGTTGGTGAAATAATTCTTGTGTTACTCTTTATCTTCTTTGTTGTATTTGGCGTTACTAGCAACCTTGGAAAAACTTGTACATTGGTTGTTATAGTTTGTTAATTTTCTTCCTGTTGATCATGTATTCTTCCTGATCCAAAATTTTGTTTCTTTCCATACTTACCTTTTCTTACCTTTTCAGAACCAAATAATAATTCTTTTTATTTACTTATTTTTATTTTGGTTGCTTGGAGAACTAGTGGAAAATTAGCATTTCTATGATCTGGGGAATTGAAAGATCCAGATTTCTTCTTTATTAACTAAGTAACTAAATGTTTCTTATAAGAGTATTAAATGGTCTCTTAAATAATTTTAAGTTTATGATCTTGAAATTTATGTTACTGATTTTGATGTTGCCTCATTTCATTTCTATATTTTCATTTCTCTTTAGAAATACTGTCACCTGAAACTCAAGTGACACCACCATCTGTTGCTGAAACTGATTAGTTTTTCGTTAAGAAACATTGATTCATTTGTCTTTATTTCTTAAAATTAGCAGCCAGTCACCAAATTCTTTTTCTTGGATTTTTCTTTTCAATTCTGTGGTAGTTCAGGTGCTTTTAAGCCTCCAGGATTTGTCCATCCTTTGGGCTTTGTGCCTCAGCAAATCTAATTTTGTATTCCATTTCTAGCTTATAATGATTTCTTATTGCTTATTACAAGGTCTAACTCCTGCTTGTCCTTGAAGACCTCCTATAGTCATACCTTATATCTTCAGAAATAAACAAAATAGTAAGTCTACTTTTCAGCATGCAACTGTGCTCAACCACTCCACCTTAATCACACACCTGGAATGACTTTTTGAAATTCAAATCCAGTTTATTTTACAAAGTTGATTCAAATCCTTTATTCTCACTGAAACTTAATCTATTCCGGGGGTCTGCAGGTTATGGTCCTTGGACCAGATTGGCCTTCTGTCCTATTTCTGTATATGGCTTTTTAGATTTTGAAATGGTTGAAGATACAACTGAAAGAATAATATTTTGCAATATGTTAAAATAATATGAAATTCAAATTTGTGTTCATAAACACAACCACGGTCATTC